AAAGCAAAAGCGAAAGAGAACATAAGTGAGCTATTTTTGTGTGATATTTCTTAAACTAATAGAGGAAAGAGTTTTTCATGGGTTGCAGAATCTTCCTTGATTGAGTAAATTGAAAAGAAAAAGCAAAAGCAAAAGAGGAAAAAAAGGGAAAATATTGAAATACAGGAGAAATTTTAAAAAAAAATAATAAGTTGTTAATTTAGAACAAGTATTTTCCCAAAAGAAATGAGCCAAAGAAAACATAATTATTTATATGCTCATCTCATGCTTGTTAAAGAGGAAAACAAGTTGTTTCTCTTCTTCCAAATCCCATGCCAAATTATATCAATAATAACTTCTTTCAACACCGTTTATAAATTTAGTTAGTTAATTAATGAAATAATACAATAAGAACTTATTTAAACACTGTTTATAAAGGTAGTTAATTAACACAATACAATAACTTGTTTAAAAGCTGTTTATAAACAATAATAATAATTATTATTAGTTTAAGTCTTATTTGGATACATAAACTTTCAAACTTTATTAGTTTTATAATGAGTCTTGAATAACTTTTGAAAAAAAAAAAGTCTTTGAAGCACTTTTCTCTAATTACTTATGAAAGTGTTGGTTAAGTGTTTCCTCTTGAAGCATGTTATTATGTTGAGTTCTTTTTCAAGTGGTTTTGGAATTTTCATTGTGATTAGTAACTAATCACCATGAAAATCTTTAGAAATATTTTTTAATAAGTTAAAATACCTTTCACCTTCTAAAAAGTCTGTATTAAAATAACATATAATCCTTTAGCTTTTAAATATTTTATTTTAGTAATTATTGATTGTCATTTGTTATTTAGGTTTAAATTTCCTAAACTTTCAAAAATTATTTTATTTTGGTTTTTGAAATTTCACTATTTTGATTTCCAAAATATTTCATGTCTTGTCAGTTACATTTTAGTCTTTTTTAACTTTCAAAAGATCTAGAAACTAAAAAGAAAAAAAAAAGACTAAAATAAATATCTCATCAACTCTCTCGTCATACATTTTTTATTTTTTTTAAGACAAAAATTATACAATTTTAAGACCAAAAATGAAGAAAGCTTAAAAAAATAAATTCATAACTCCCTGTGTATTCTGATTCCCAATAAACGAGTAAGAAAATTCATTCCACATGATGTTTATACAATTATCCATAGAACCAGAATCCAGTTAATCAAATAAAGATGAGCCTCTAAAAACACCTGCAGATCTTTTGATTTCATATGGTAGCTAATAATCTGCCATAAGATCAAACCACAGGTCGTAAATTTATCTCTTCCCATCTTCTTATTTTCCCTTTTCTTTTTCCGAATCCTGTAAGTATAGTCAGCTATGTATTTCCCTCTAAACTCATCTCCAAATTGACTTCTTTCTATATCTTTTATTCTTCTCGTTGCCACCATTCGACTTACGACTGTAACGGGTCGGTAGTTCGACGCAAGAAGATCAAGACCCCACCAAACCTTTGTAGCGGGCATAGTAAATAATTGCAATGAACATCACCGCACAAGCTACTCCAGTAACAATGACAACCTGCACATATTGAAGAGCAGATATGGTTATGCGTTCTTGTTCGGAGTCTCAGGTTTCTTGGAATTTAAAGTCGAAAATTGCAATCGAGTTTTTTGGTGTACCCATTTAAACATGTATCCGTGGTCGTCGTTCCAAGTGTATGGAATGTTCATGCCAAATATTGCACCCACCAAAGAATAGATAGACAAACAAACAGTTCCAGAACTTAAAAAGAGCTCCAACTGCAGATCAAAAGAGCAACCAAAATTGAAGAAATATAAATAAATAAGAAGATGGGAAGCACGGAGATCCCATCGATATACGGAAGGATAAAGCACCTGAATGAGTTGATTTCGATGATTGTCAAGCTGCAAAACCCATGATAACTTCCAGTCAGACAAGAAAGGGAAAAAAGAGGCCATCTATCATGCATCAGTAGATTGGAATCTTTTCATGTCTCTGTTACCTGAATGTTGATGTAATCTTCTGTGTCATCAATATATTCTCTCAGCTGAAAATCATTTAAACCAAATAAAATGGTGAACTGGCATAAAACATAATCAAATATATACTTTGATTAACAGTAACCGTTCCACGCCAACCTTACACTGAATCTAGTAATATTTCACGGCACAAGTAAGTTACCAAGATATTTCAGATGTTTCATGGATAGAAAACCAAATATAAAGGTAGGCTAAGACAGTTGTGAATGAATATAGAACACTATAGTAAAATGGTATGAATGAAATAAAATCTATAGTAAAAATGGTAAGCAGAAGATAAGGGTGTGTTTCTCACAATTGAGTGTCTACTTGTAAATGTTGGGGACTGGGGTTGTTCATTTTGCTTCATTTTTCTGTCCTTTTGGGTGGCCCAAGCCCTTGCTTTTCATGATGGCCTTCCTTGTTAGTTCATATTCTATTGAAGGAGAATAATTAGATTAAATTATAAATTTAGCCTTTAATTTAATCCTAAACTCTAAAAGTAATATTTATCTTCAACTTTGAATTATGCTTCTAATTAACAGAACACTAATTTAACATGCCTATTATTTTTTTTTTTTTGTTGAAAGAAACAATTTCATTGATGAGTGAAATTTCAAGAGACCTCAAAAGAGGGATACAAAAATCTCAAAAGAGGATTCCATGAAGCACTTCCAGTTTGCTAGGAGGGAAGTGTAACTATAATGGTGGAAAATAGGGGAAGATTTACACCAAGTAATGACACTATAGACTATAGCATCAAAATAACTGTCAAAAGGGAGAGTTTTATCATTAAAGGTGCGCTGATTTCGTTCTCTCCAAGTAATCCAAAAGAAAGCACGCATGAAGTTCTGCCAGAGGATCGCTTTCTCATTCCTAAAAGGATGCCCTGTTAGAGTGACTTCCAGAAGGAGGGGAGGATCCGTTGGTAAAACAGTGGACCATCCAAAAGTGTGAAGGATGAGGTTCCAAAATCTGGTAGCAAAGGTGCACATGGTGAAGAGGTGTCGTTGCGTTTCTTGACTCGCCCGACACATAACGCACCAATGAGGTGAGATAGCCAAATAGGGCAGCCTTCTTTGTAACTTGTCGCCGGTATTGATAGCACAGTGGCTGAGTTCCCAAAGAAAGAATTTCACCTTTTTTGGGCAAGGTTCTTTCCAAATACTTTTGTAAAGGCTTTGTGTAGAATTCTGACTAGGTTTCGTTAGATCCTTGATGAGAGAATGGGTGGAGAAAGTGCCGTTTGTTTCTAGTTTCCAGAGGAGGCTGTCGGCATCTGTGGATAAAAGAACCGTRGAGAGTTTGTGAATAAGAATTGCCCATTCCACAATTTCTGCATCCTTCAAATTTCTTCACAGCCTCAAGTTCCAGCACTGATTTTCAGTGGACCAMAAATCGCGGACAGCAGCTTCTTTTTTCAGAGATAAGGCATATAGAAGGGGTGAGTGTTGTTTCAGAGGTTTGTTAACCAACCAGGGGACAGTCCAGAAGGGTGTGTTATTGCCATTACCAATCTTAAAATGCAATCTGTCAAAAACCAATGGTTGTGTTTTGATAATCGTCTTCCAAGGACCTTTACCAGCTGGGAGAGAGGTTGTGATAGGTTTGAAGGACCAGGAGGCAGAACCATATTTACTTTCAATCACTCGATGCCAAAGAGCCKCTTCTTCTTTGATGTATCTCCAAATCCATTTAGCTAGGAGGGCCTTGTTTTTTATCTTCATATCGGGCAGACCCAAACCTCCCTCTGTGAGAGGCTGCTGAGCAATGTCCCATTTAACTAAATTCGTCCCTTTGGTTTCTTTGTTGCCGTTCCATAGGAAACTTCTGTARAGACTGTTTATAGTGTTGGCGACTTTGGAAGGCATTTGGAATAGTGAAAGGTAGTAGGTAGGGAGGTTTGTAAGTGTGGCTTGGATAAGTGTATGTCTACCGCCTTTGGAGATGAAGGAGTTTTTCCAAGAGAGTAATCTTTTCTTAATTTTCTCAACCATGGGGTCCCAGAAGGAAATGGTTTTTGGCTTACCATGTAAGGGGAGACCTAGGTAGAGGGTAGGCCAAGATCCCTTTTTCCAATTATACTTGGATGCAAGAWTTGTTAGCTCACTGTCTTCTAGGTTTATGCCCAGAATTTCAGATTTCTGGTGGTTGATTGTGAGCCCTGAAGCTTCCTCAAAAACCTTGCTGGTGTTGAACATGTTATTGAGGGAGAAATCTTCATATGTGGAGAAAAGTATGGTGTCATCAGCAAACTGCAGGTGATGTATGTTCATGTAGTTTCCTCCAAGGTTGAATCCCTTTATGAGATTGTGGCTAGCTGAGACATTCATTAGGCGACTGAAAACATCAGTAATCAATATAAAGAGGAAAGGTGATAGGGGGTCACCTTGTCGAAGACCCCTAGATGCAATGATTTTCCCTCTTGGACGACCGTTGATGATGATGGAGTAATTTGCTGAAGAGACACAGCCTCGGATCCATTTCCTCCATRTATGTCCAAAACCTTTTGCCTCAAGAACAGCATCTAGGAAGTCCCAATCAACACTATCAAAGGCCTTTTCAATGTCCAACTTGATGACCACGCCCTTCTCTTGTCTTCTTTCCCAGTCYTCAATGAGTTCATTGGCAATCAGTGATGCATCGATAATCTGTCTCCCTGTAACAAAGGCTGATTGTGCATCCGTGATTATGTCTGGCAGCAAACCTTTGAGTCTCTCTGAAAGAACTCGAGCTATAATCTTATATAAGCAAGATGTAAGGCTAATASGCCTAAAATCCCCCACTTKTCTGGTGTCGAGCTTCTTTGGGATGAGACAGACGTAGGTTTCGTTGAGGCTAGCATTGATAATTCCGTTCTTAAAAAAATCTTGGAACACTCTCAGAATGTCTTCTTTAAGAATGTTCCAAAACTTTTTGTAGAACTCAGCAGTGAAGCCGTCTGGTCCAGGGGATTTGTTGGATCCAAGGTCCTTGATGGCACGCCAAATCTCCTCCTCAGTGAATGGATGTTCAATCAAAGTGCTTTGTTGTGGTGTGATGGGGCACCAGTCTGTGAGGGATGGGAGGAATCTTTGTCCATCCTTTTTGGTGTATAACCTGTCAAAAAAAGAAAGAAATTCTGTTTCTATGTCCTTCTCATCAAAAAGACTGATACCAGTTGTGGAGAGGATTTCTGTAATGGTGTTCCGACGTCTCTTTGCTGCAACAATCCGGTGGAAGAAGGATGTATTGTTGTCTCCTTCCAGTAACCATTTGGATTTGCAGCGTTGGCRCCAATGGATCTCCTCTTTGGCCACAACCTCAAGAAGTTGTGTTTTGATAGTTTTCCGTTGGGCGTGTTGGACTGTGTTTAGAAGTCCCTCTTCCTCTAATTCATCTAGAATGGCGAGCTCTGAGGTGAGCTGATTTTTTTGTTGTGCAATGCTCCCGAAAGTTGTTTTGCTCCAGGWTTTGAGCATGATTTTCAGCCCTTTAAGTTTCATGATGAAACCGTGGCCTGGCCAGCCTCTGAGGGGGGTGTTCTTCCACCAATATTCGATGAGGGGTTGTAAGGAGTGATGCAGCATCCATGCATTTTCAAACCGGAAGGGAGATGGACCCCATTTAGTCATGCCGAAGGARAGTTGTATGGGATAATGATCAGAGGTAGGCCGATTCAATCTTTTGACGTGTGCATTCTGAAATCTCAAAAGAAAATCATTAGAAGCCAGGAATCTGTCTGTCAATCAGAGTGAGGGTGGGGGGGTCTCTGTAGTCAGACCAAGTGTACAAGCCATTTGTGAGTGGGAGGTTCTGTAGGCCGGCTTGATAAATGAAGGAGTTGAAATGTTGCATATTCCTGGTTGGTCTGCAGTTGTTTGATTTCTCTTGTGTCCACCTGACAGGATTGAAGTCTCCCCCTAAAAGCCATGAGTCATTGCAGAGGGATGAAAGGTCGCTTAGCTCCCTCCAGAAAGCTGGCTTTTCCTCTGAATTTGATGGACCGTATACACCTGTAAGCCAGAAATTAGAGCCATCAAGTAAGGTGAGAAGGATAGTAATCGTGTAGAGCCCCAGGGTGATATCTGATACTTGAAAAGAAGGGTCGTTCCACATGATAAGGATACCCTCGGATGTGCCTGACGCATCTAGAGTTGTCCAACCAATATCACGTGAGCTCCAGAGAGATTTTATGGTGAGGCGGTCCACCACCTCCAGCTTTGTTTCTTGTAGGATGACAATGGTGGGATTGTGTTTGTTGATGAGGGACTTAATCAGGGCTCTTTTTGACCAAGAGCC